TCTAAAAAAAAAAAAAAAGGAACCTTTCCCTCTTTCAAGCTTTACATACCTATTAGCTATGTCCATTTGTTATCACTCATTTTGAGCTTGGGAAAAAAAATTAAGGAAAATCAAACTAAGCTTGCTCAATTCCTGTGTAATTTCTTAATGTCTTGTTTATTATTTCCTGCTTATTTAGGCAAATTGAAGAGATTTTAAAAAAAATATTTATTACTGATACAAACCTTTCAGTTAGACTGAGATATGAAATCAAGGGCCATGTTATCTTGAAGAATGCTCAAAGATTTGGTTCTTAACTCAGTTCTTGAATTTATCAGATGGGCTTACTGCCTTTTTGAAGGGGACAAAGGGTGAACATTGTGCTGTTAAATGAGTACTAGCTATTTGTCACAACAGTAGGATATGGTGAAACAATTGGATTTGGAGTTGAGACAACTGGGTTGAAATTCTATCAATAATACTTAGCAGTTTTGTGTCCTTCAGAAATATATTTAAGCTCTGTTAGCCTCAGTTTACTCTTCTGTAATGGGAATAATTATATCCATAGTATTTATGTTACAGAGTTACTCTGAGAATCAAATGAATTAGCATTTATATAATTCTATATGGAGTTCACCAAATGCATTGATGCAGTTTTAAGCTAGCTGAAAAGATTTAAGTTTTAACAGCTTAAAATTGCTCTAAGACTTTTGGGACACTGTATAAATAATCAGTATTCTTATTCACTCTATTAAGTATACAGATATATTTATCATTAGGTATGTAAGCTGTGGTTTTGGAATGAGCAAATTATTAGAAAGACAGCACTAATTTTGGTGTGTCACAGTTTAAATTGCAAGAGACTGTGACAATTCCTGAACAGATGAAAATAAGTCATCTGGCCACTAAGTCTTCCATCATTCAAAGGAAAGGATGGAACTAAGCGCTGCTGGTTTGCCTGACAAAACATGTTACTGGGGCATACTTTACTTGCAAGAGAAACCTTTGCTTTGCCCTGGGGTCATTTGTCCTTTCAGCTCTTTGGGATTTAATTCTTACTAATTCTTTATAAATGTAGGTACTTCTCTAGCAATAAAAACAATAAGCATTTATGAAGTGTTTCCACGTGCAGGGCACTGTATTAGGTGCTGGGGAGATATGACGTTTAGATAAGCCAGGATTCCTGCCCTCATGAAATATACCCTTCAGCATATACAAATGATTCTAATAATATGTAAGTGCACCTAGAGGGGTACAAAGTACTGTATGAGGGATCAAGTGGTAAAGGTCATTACCAGGTGGAGAGATTAGAGTAGACTTACAGGAAGATCTGAATTTGAGTTTTGTTTTTTGGTTTTTTTTAGGGATGGATAGTAACTTATGAGAGGGAGAGGGAGAGAGAGAGAGACAGAGAGAGAGAGAGAGAGAGAGAGAGAGAGAGAGAGAGAGAGAGAGAGAGAGAGAGAGAGAGAGAGAGAGAGAGAGAAGGCATTTAAGCTGTAGAGAACAGTGTAAACATTTCATGGAGGTGAAAAAGGGTCAGTTGGGCACAAGGGGTGGTGAGTTTGGACCAGTTAAATTGGAGCTATTGTTGTTGTTGTTTGTCCTTCATTTTTGAAGAGGACCAAGACATCAGGGAGGTGATGCCATGACTTAACAAATGAATTAGATTTAAGTGAGGGACAGCTGTGCAAGGTTACTAGAATCACTTTCTCTTCTGGGGCCATCTGGGTCCAATGGCAAGATATAGATCAGGATGGCCAGAGATGGGCCCCTAAATTGGAGCATAGAGCATCTGGAGGCAAATACTACTAAATGAGCTTGGGGAATCAGGATGGGGCCAAATTTTGGAGGGTCTTGAATGTTCAGTATCATTAGTAGAATTTCAGCCCAGTTAGTTCTCTCTTGACTCTACAACTAGGAACCATTGAAGGATTTGGAGTAAAAGCCACATGAAATATCACCAACATGTTACCATATGTGCATCATCACATCAAGCACATCTGTGAGTAATGAAATTATATTAATTTAAATCTATGACTTAACCTTTGAAAAAACTCACATTTACCCATTCTGACTGACTTCTCTACTCTCCTCAAACCAACTTGCTATTTTTCTTCATTGTAGTCTTCTGCTTGGGTCTACACACTCTTTCATCTCTGCCTCCAGGCTCCCCTTGATTTCTTCGAGTCCCATCTAAAATCCCACCTTCCACAGAAAGCCTTTCAGGGTCTCTTTTAATTCGAATAGCTTCCTTCTGCTGATTATTCCCTGTTTATCCTGTATGTAGATTGTTTGTACATAATTATTTGTGTATTGTCTCTGTCATTGGATCATGAAGTATTTCAGAGCAGGGATTGTCTTTTGCCATTCTTTGCATCTCCATAGCGCAATGCCTGGCACATAATAGTCACTTTAAAATGTTTATAAATTGACTGACTGACAGCACCAACAAATACAAGACTTAACTAATTCTTTTGAAATCCTTCCCTTTGGGACAGGGGTGGAAGGGAGTGGGGCAGTGAGAGAGGGATGCTACCCTGAAATAACTGAGAGAAAAGATCTTGGTCTTCAGTAAGCCCGACCATTTGGCCATGGAATGTCTTCCAGTAAATGCTACTTCAAGGTATTGAGATTTCATTGATGTATGTGCTCTCTCCAAAAATATTGATTGTAGCCACTTAGTATAACTTAGTACAGTAGTCTGGTACACAGAGTACTACTATCTACTCAGTTACAGAGTTACCGTGACTGAAAAAAAATAACCTTCCTGTAGCCACCTAGTAACCCTTAGCAGATTATGTAAGAGATTATATATTCTGTCACTTTTGGGGGGCTAGGATTACATATTTTCATATTTATTATTCTAAGCAGCATACCTGCAATACAATTCAGCAAGGCTCAACTGAACATTTTCAAAAACTAAAAATGTTCAAAATGATTCACAGAAATACATAATCATATTACCTCTTTTTATTTATTAAAGACTTCTGACAAAAAAAATCAGAATTTTGGGAATCCAAAGGAAGACCTGAGAGAAAAAGACTGGATTTTTGGAGGGATATAAACTTCTTGAACTATGACCTAGATCTTTTTTTTTTCCTCCTCACTTGGAAAGAAAGGGAGAGAATGATGTATTTGAAATAACACCTTGTAAATTTTATCTAAAATTTACCATTTGAATGAAGACCTGAGAGTTTGTGGAATTTGGTGAACTACTAACTATTTATACCAGTTGGTATATTTCTTTACTTTGTGAGTGTGTTTTCTTCCTATGTGAAATAAACGAATGAGGTGTAACAAGAAAGTACTACTGCCCACTTAATTGGCAGAAAAGGAGCACACTTTAAGTGGTGCTGGGTATGTTAGATCCTTGTTCGATTCCAATGGATCAGATTTAAAGTGTGGCTCTTTCACCAAAAGTTTCCATTCTCTTGTTAAAAATAAAGGGAAAAAAACATTCCAGCAACCGAACATTAATTCTCAAGCAACCCTGTAATAATAAAGCCATATTCAGGCAGAGTTTGAGAAAAAAAATTGTTCCATGCGGTTTTTATAAACAAGCACAAATATACTGATTTTTAAAACCTTGAAAAGGACTTTGACAGCCTTCTTTTAATTAACTACAATCATTTATGCCCCTGTGGGGAGTCTTCAGTTGTTTTTAGTCTTCAAAAACTATCTACCAGGAGCAGCCCACATATTGGCAGCTGATATGCTATCCTGAACCATTTTTATTTTGCAATGGTAGGAAAAACCCTATAGCAAACAATACAGTAGAATTATCCTTACATGACAAAATGACAGAAATCAACTGTTAATTGCAACATTTTAAGATTGGTTCCCAGCTATGGTTTATGAAGAAAAGAACTGTGAAGTGAATCCTATAACTGCTTTCTGCCCTCAAAAGATGAGCTTTGTTGTCTTATCAGCTGGGTTTTTTTCCTGTCTTGTTTTGGGAGCTAAGCTTAGCAAAATACATGGTAAAAACCCAAGATGACTGATGGGTAGATGGAGTTATTTTGTTTCTGCTCTATGTGAAACAGGGTAAAAGCCAATCACTTTCCACATATTTATGGTTAAAATGTCTGCCATTATGGGGCTAAATTCAGCTTTCCAGAGAGGCTTAGAAGGTTGAGGAATTCACAGGGTTTTTGTCAGCGTGTCTCAGGGACATCAGTACTTAATGGCAGGCAGAACAGTGTCAATGAGCCTTTTCATATTTCTTCATAAACCCATTTCTTTAGGCCTCAGTCTAATTTCTTTCTGATCTCACACTTGTGCTAATGTGCACACTTCAATCAAATGTGCTCTGAGAGAAGAGAATGAATAAAGCCTTTTGAAGAAGAATCGGATGTGACAAATAAGTTAATATTTAGCTTTCCATTATGAGTTTATAGCCCCCAGTGATGGAATTGGGTTTTGAAACTGTTTTAAGTAAATGTTTAATAAATGTTGATTGATTGATAGTTGTCATTCAAAATTCTCCTAAATGGAGATACATTTTTAGTATGAGGCTTTCCATCCATCTTGAATTTTACCTAATAACATGATAACTATAGCAAAATCCCCAAGTTACTATAGCTCTTGGATCCCAGATCACGTAATAGATACCTTTGACTAAATTCACAGCCTCCAGACGTATATGTTTTTCCAAGGCAATGAAACTGCCCCCTATGAAAGAGAATACATCTGCTTTGAGGAGACCAAATATCACCAGATGGATTTGTGCCAGCCTAATTGTGTTACCCTGAAGGTTTGAATTATTAAAGCTTGTAGTGATGTGGACTTTCTGATTTATCTTCTACTCTGTTTCTGCTTTTGAGAGAATTCTTCATTAGGCTTATGCACTAGGTATATAACATCCTTGTAATTCTTGGTTATTTCTTTAAACATGGGGTTGACTTGTCAGTTTGTGCTAGAGAGGAGTACCCAGTTCTATTTAGCATTTAAAAGGCAAAATGTTCAAAACAGATTAGGCACTAGAACACTTGGAAAGTTTATAGGGTTTCACAATCATGTTTAAACACAGAAATCTGTTTATTTAACCAAACAAAACAGAAGAAATTATACCAGCCCTCAGTTTTTGAATTTTCATTTAAATCTGTGAATCTTAAATCCACACTTTGAAATGTTTGCGAATCTATGTATCTCCAAAATACTCATATTTCAATAGTTTTTTTTCACATTTATATTCACCAACAGTATCACAAAAGTTCTTCGTTTTTTACCTTTTTTTTTCAACATAACTGTAAGCAACAGTAATTCTAGAGACACTAGAAGAAGAAAAGCATAGCAATGTCCACGGGCACAAGAAAAGTGCACATTACTGGGTCACAATCACAGTCATTACTTGAAAAACTCTATGGAACAAGTAGATAGGAAATCTCACTGATGCCTTAAACTCATCCTCAAAAACGGAATTACAGAATTTTTTTTACATAAATAAGGCAAATTCAGGAATGTACAAGGAACTTGTTTATCCAACCAAATCTAAACAACAGAACAAATAGTACAAGTAAGCATCAACTAAAGGACTTGTCTCTATATATTTAAAAATAGGCTTGCCTTAGTGTACAAAGAAAACACCATTTATGTGGATTCAACACTAGAAAATAAGAAGCAGGGTGAGAGTTCACTAGGAGTCACGGCTGCATCCACTGAGAGTTTGGAGAATGTTGGAAACTGGTTCTGAGAATTCTATAAAGCATATTCAGAGAGGAAATAGCATTTTTTTGTTTGTTTTTTGTTTTTGGAAAGTATCTCAGAAAGAAAAATGGAAAGGAAACTACAGGAAAGAGTGCAAATTTTCAGATTGTCACTTGCAACCATTTAACATTCAGTCATCTACATCCAATCACTACTACAGGAACTTCTACAAGACAGCAGCAGCAGCAGTAATTGTGAGTGAGCAGCTGTAACAAACCAAGGGTGTGCTTTAAAAAAAATATGTCTTTACATAAATAGATATCATTAAAAAAAAAACACAATCCCAAACAAAAAACCCAACAAAAATTAGAACAAAACAAAACAAAACAAACAAACAAACAAAAAAACCCCGCTCTGTGATGACAATTGCCAATAGGAAAGCTGCCATGTTGAATGGGGTGACTTTGAAAACAGCGTGAATGCAAGTAATGCAGGCTCCTTTGGGTAGTAGTTTCTGATGTGATGATTTACAGAATGTAGATATATGGATTTTCCAGCATCAAGTGTATTTTTTTTTGTAGAAAGAATTTAGGGATAGAAGAAGAAGAAAAAAAAGAGGATGGAAAGGTGACTTACAATAGTTTCTCAAAACAGTTTTTTTTAGGAACAGTGAAAAAGTTACCAAAGTAAAAATGACAATTTTGAATGAAAAAAACATTTTTTTTATAAAAATTACATTTTCTTTTTAAAATACAAGATCCTTTTAATTGCTGTTTTATCCTGTACCAACAGGAAATTTGGCATTGTTTTTTGCCATACACTGCAGCTTTCGGTCCAATGAGTCAGTAGCATGTTCCACAATATTGCACTTGCAGCTTGAACCAGTGGAAAGGACCACAGCATCTTCTGTTTCATCTGTGAGTTAGCATTCTATAGTCACTTTTTCGATATTTATGCTGATAGACTAAAACAGAAAGCAATGGGCTGGACACATGACAGTACCTCGAAAAGATCAGAGGCCAGAGTTCCCCTGAAGCACCTTAACACATCACTTTAAGGATCAAGAACAGTGTGGCTTTATGGTAATTAACTTTCCTAAAAGACCGTGCAGTAGTAATACCTGAAGCATCTGTTCTGGGAAACCAACATGTCATTAGTGGAAACTCCAAAATGAGACCCAGTGAGTGCCAAGGTCACAGAATTTAGTTCTGCTGCAAAATAAGGTTTTCCAGTTCATCTGCCGAGCGGAGTAAAAATGCTGCAGATTCTCGGTAACCCGCCACGAGCTGTCGCACAGCATTGATTTCAGTTGGGCTCAGCTGGGGTCTGGAGCTTGAAGTGCTGGAGGACCCAGAACTGGTGGCTAATTGTCTCTTCATGCTGAGATCGGTGGGACCTGGAAATCAGAGCCACAAGAAAAATAATCAATAACTTCTGTGGTTCCATTGCACCTTTCATCTAAGGATCTTACTGCACTTAATCTTTCCTCTTCATTAGCTGCTAAATAACTGATCTCCACACTTTTTGCATACTTAAAATGTCCTAATAGTGTGGTATATTAAAAAGAACACTGGTCCTAGAGCTGGTAGACCCGGGCTCTAGCAAGTGACAATGAAATCAGCACTTTGAATGAAATCAGACAAAGCACTTTATGCATTGGATGGAGGAATTCTTCCCTTCAGTGGCCGAAGACGTCTTTGAGTTCTGGTTTTGCAACTTACCTGGGGCAGCTAGCCAGTGCAGTGGATAGAGCACCTGCCTAGGAGTCAGGAAGACTCATCTTCCTGAGTTCAAATCTGGCCTCAGACCTTACTAGCAAGTCACTTAACCCTGTTTGTTTTAGTTGTTTCCTCATTTGTAAAATGAGCTGAGAAGGAAATGGCAAATCACTCTGCTGTGTCTGCCAAGAAAACTCCAAATAGGATTGAGAAGAGTCAGAAATGACTCAAAAATCTGCAACTTATTGCTTGTGTGGCCTTAGGCAAGTAATATCACCTCTCTGGGCTAAGGTTCCTCATCCACAAAGTGAGGGGATAGGCCTACATTCTGTTAACAAGCATTTATTAAGTGCCAACTCTGTACCGGGCATCTGATAGGTGCCTATGATACAGACACAAAAACAAAATATTGACTATCAAGGAGCTTATATGCTACTGGTTCCTTTCAATTCTCATTCTAGGATCCTCCATAAGGAGGTTTGGGTGCCATTTGCTAGAATGTTTCAACATATATTTGGAGAAAGGCTGTTACAACTTTTTCAAGACAAATTTTAGAGGTTTTTAATAAAGATGTCAGAGTTGGTTACTCTTAGCAATTTCAACCAAAGGTCAGCCAAAGAAGAGGGAAGAGGCTTCAGATCTGGCAGGCATGGAACAGGCAGGGCCCTGAGAAGGAGCTTCCTTGGAATTCACTTAGGAAAGAACTGAACCAGAGCAGAGGCATTTTCAAATTGGCTACCAGCATCTATCAATTTATGAATTACCTTAGCCTTTCAAAGCTTTGGTTTTGGAACCTATATTACACATTCCTTCCTGTGCAATAGGAAGAATAGGAAGTAAATGAGAAGATTAAGATCTATTTATATGGAGTAAGACCTCCACTTATATGGTGCTTTCCAATTTAGGAACTAATTTCCTCAGAACTACCCCAGGAGGTAGAAAGTACAAATTTTTTATTTTCGATTTATAGATGAGGAAATTGGGGCTCCAAAGAGTTCAGACTTGCCCCAAGGTGGTTCTGAGACTCAAGCTTCTTTCCACTTTACTTCACTGCATCTCCTAAAGTGAGTCTAAAGTGAAGGAACTCCAGAAGTCAAGTTGCAAACACAAATCACAGAATGGCATTAATCCAAAAGTCCAAAAACCAATAAAAGTAGCATCATTGATCTTTACCTGGAAGGGCCCTTAGTAATCATCTGATTTCTTCATTTTCTAGTTGAGAAAACTTAGGTGGAAGAATGTAAACTGTTTTCCTCAAGGTCACACAAGGGCTAAGTGGCAGAGTCAGGATTTGAACCCTGGAACCTCTGATTTCAAATTCAGGACTTCTCCCACTAAACCATATTGATCTGGAAAAAGGTCACTGTCCTATTATGGGCAGTGTGACCTGAAAGAGCTCTCATTAATTTCCAGATCATTTCCTAGATGCAATCTAGTTATAGTTAATAATATCCATTAACTACATAACTGAATGAATGGAGCCCAGTGCCACAACAAATCTCTTTCAGAAAGGAAGAAAAAAAAAAAGGATGGCCTTTCCCTTCAGTAATAGATATTGCCAAGGTCTTAAAGAGCTAGCCCTGACATTAGAGGGCATGGATCCAAATCCCGTGTCTGATGCTTACTAGCTGTCTGATGTTAGACAAATCATTTCGCCTCTGTGGGCCTCAAGTTTCTGCATCTGTAAAATGGGATGATTGAATTAGATGACTTCTGAGTTCCCTCCCAGGTGCAGACTAATGAGCTTATGAATTTTATTTCATAGGACAGCCTTGCATGCTGTACTTTCTTGCCTACTCACATCACTCGAATGATCTTCATTTTCATAAGCCTTATGCTGATATGGAATAATGTTCCAGCTTTGTTTGGGGGACTTCCATCTTACTCTGCTCTTTGGTAATCTCTGAGCTATTTATGGCAGCACTCTGCAGATCTTGGTATGGCCTTCCAGAGAAGGCTGCGCCTCTTTTCTACAATTTTAACTTCTGTCCAAATAAGTACTCAGGGCATGGAGAACATTCAGTACTCTCAAAAAGAAGCCATTTCCACATATATAGCAGACTTGTAAACCACATGGCCCATGGATCTTTTGCTCTCAATGTGGCCCAATCAAATTGAAATGTAATTGGGAAATGTTTAACAAAATAAATAAAAACATAATACAACATAGATAATGGTAATTTGTGGTTTCTCAAGTCAGTTATGTGGCCCAAAGGGATGTGATTCTAGTCAAATTTAATGCCACTGATATACAGTATGTAGGTGTTGGGGAACTGAACAGAGTTTGGCACCACGTATCAGTGCCTTATTCAACTCAATCCAACAAAAACATACTAAATGCTTACTTTGTATAAAATGCTGGGGAAATATATGGATTAGGTTTGGATAATTTGTTTTTAAAGATCAAAACTGTAATAATAGAATACAAAACATTCCTCAGCTTAATGAAATTGTTTTTATGTAGAAGTGAGAGTCATAAGCATTTATGCAGGCATATTCTTTTTGTTTGTTTGTATTTTGTTTTGTTTTTGGTCCCGACCTATGATTTCATTCTTATAGGGAATTAATTCTCTGTGAGGGAACCATCTCTACCAATGCATATCAACAACTAGTCTGCAACTCATATACAGGGTTAGAGAGTTGCTTGGGGCCCAGAGTTTAGGTGACTTATCCAAGCTGCAGAGCTTGAACTTGGGTCTTCCTAACTCTGAGGCCAGCTCCTTACCTACTATGCCATTCTGCCTCTCTTCAGGCATATTCTTAGTGATTATGATAAACCTCCCCACTCCCCCTTCTCCCCCACCAAAAGCTGGATGTATTGCCTAAAAAAAAACTAATTAGATTGTAAACCTCTTGAGGACAGGAACATATTTTTCTTATTTTGTATACCCCAAAGTACCTAGAATAGTGCCTTATGCTGAGTACAAATGCAGTAATATTTTTCAAATAAAAGAGAAAAATTCTCTTTGAACAGTAAAAACAAAATTTGAATAATTGTATTCATAAGAACAAGTCATTTAAATCATCTTTTTTTTAGTATTTCCAAACACAAAACTCATTTTGAGACAGTGTGTTGTAGTGAATAGAAGGCTGTCCTTGGAGTCAAGAAGAACTGGGCTCAAGAACTACCTCTAATAGATATTAGCTGTGTGACCATGGTCAAGTAATCTAATTCCTTGGTGCTCCAGGCAACTCTAAAACTAAGTTACAGTTGAGTTGCTGATCTACTTTGATAAAGGGAGTTTCCACACTAGGAGTTCTGTTGTGGTTCAGTCATTTTCAGTCATGTGCAACTCTTCATGACCCCAGTTGGGGTTTTCTTGGCCAAGATACTGGTTTGCTATTTCCTTCTCCAGCTCATTTTACAGATGAGGAAACTGAGGCAAACAGGGTGAAGTCACACAGCTAGGAAGTGTCTGAAGCCAGATTTGAACTCAGGAAGATGAATCTTCCTGATTCTGAGTCCAGTGGTCTATGCACTATGGTGTTAGCTAGCTGCCTAGAGTTCTACACACTGATGAACTTCTGTTCATCCTACTACCCCTCAGAAAAAAATTTTTTTTTAAAAGCCTACCATCAGCTTAGGAGGCAGCAGGCATACATTTGCTTTTTAAAATCAGTTACACTGTAATGACTATATGTAGATATATATGCATATATGTGTGTATACATATGTTATATAGAGATATCTAGATCTATCTATCTACAATACATATATATTTATGCACATGCTCTCATAAAAGACGTTCTCAAGAGACACCTGGTAAGGCTTTCTGGAATGCCTCTTTAACAAGGTGCTAAATTCCCTTGACAAGATTGCTCTGCTCTAGTAATTCTAAGATCTGGATACTAAGATCAAAGGATCACAGAGTCAGAGCTAGAAGGGGCCCTAAGGGACACTTCGAACAACCCCCTCACTTTATAGATGATGTAACTGAGGCCTACAAGACTGCTTAAGTGAATTGTCCAAGGTACAATAATCATAATCTTAGCTTTATATACTTTAAGGTTTGCAAAATGTTTTACATAAGTTAACTCATTTGATCCTTATAAAGATCCTGTAAGTAGGTATTATTATCCACATTTTACAGAGGAGGAAACTGAGGCAAATAGAATTGAAATAACTTGCCCTGAGTTGCCTATCAAGTAAATGTGTGAGGCAGGATTCAAATTCAGGTCTTTCTGACTTTAGGTCCCACCTTCTACCACCTATCTGCCCCATACAACAGCAAATGGTAGAGTTAGGACATGAACTTAGGTATTTTGATTGCAAATCCAACATCCTCTGTGCTATATACAATCATTCTTACTAATTACTATAATTTGATTAAGTATTTTGCTTGTAAAATACATGTTCCTTGGCCTGGTCTACTCCCCAAAAAGTTCTATGACTGAGTTTAAATAATGTTAGAGATTTCCAATATATCTGGGACTGGGGCTTGAGTTGATTGGGGGCCATTATTTGAATTTCCTCTATATCTAACCCTGTAATCTATGGGAATGGAATAGAAAGTGTAAAACGTACTATATACAATTAGACACCCTTGTCTCTGTGTGTGGATTCAGTTATCATCTCTATGCTGATGATTTTCAAATCTACTTATCCAGCTCCAACCTCCCTATTGACATCCAATCTAGCATCTCCAACAGCTTAGTAGACATATTGAACTGGGATGTC